GTGGGTGGGTGGGAGGAGGATTGAAAAAGCAGAACACAACTATTAAACAAGGATCTCAATAACATATTCCACATACCTAATTCACTGTTTCTCAGGTCATCTGAGGAGGCCTCCTTTCATCGTGAATTCTTCTGGAAATCTCTACCTTTTATTTAGCCATAAAAGAATCCTAACTTTTCTGGGAACAAGAACTGGAGTTACCACCTCTCCTCTCTTTTCTTCAGGAGTCCTCCCTGGGCCAGATCTCCCCAATGTGTGTTCAGGGATGCTTGAGAACATGAATGGCTCATTCATGCTTGGAGTATTAGCTGCAAAAAGTGTATTTCCAGATGATTTGTAGAACCTGAGCAAAAGTTAGGCCCCCAATTTTACTTAGGTTCTATCCCTGGAACACCCTCCTTCATTAACACTGCAGATGAAAATCTTCTTTTTGATGGGTTGCAGCCAAACCACTCCTCATAGTTTATTACAGTCTTCTAGATATTTTAGCCTGAGCCCCTTAATCCCCAGCCAGCATGGTCCTGGGGATTATAGAAGCCAAAGTCTAACACATCTGGAGAGCGTCAGGCTGGGGAATGCTGAACTAACACACGGTGCAATTTCACAGGGCATCTTTCTGCATACACAATCAGTGCTGTTATCCAAAGATTTAAAAACAAGGATACTAAACTAAAACAACCACAAATTATAGCTGTTGCAAGTATTAGATATGGCAAGATATACACACAACTGCTTTGAGGATATTTACATAACCGTATGTACAAATATGAAACCCAAGATTTCTACATACATGACTTAGGTTTTTAATGAAGCCCCTCAGCTTGCTAATAAGAGCCCTGTATTCCTCGTATCTGTTTGAGCAAATGGTCCTAAATTATGTCGAAGGAAAAAAAAAAAAAGGAAAGAGGAAGAAGAAAGAGAAATCACCTCAGCTTTGGCTACTCAAAGGAAAATCTGAGTCTCATTTGGGATGGATTTTCAGGGTTAGGATATTTCAGCAATTTGCTCAATACAGGCTAAGTGCAGATGGCCTTTTAGGGCCAGAAAATTTAGCCTGCAATATACACATTGGCAAGGCCGCCAAATTAGAAAACAATTTGGGAAACCCATCATGTTTAGCTGAGTCAAAGAAAAAGAAAATGCAAATGTGCGCTGGCAAAGGTCTGGCTTCACATTCATTGGCACTGGGTATTCCCATTAACCAGGGCCAGTGGGCTTTTTAAAAAAGCTCATTCATGGATTCGCAGTAGCTCACTTTAGCTTTCCAATGGGCCAGCCCCCTGGATGGCAGGTTTCACCAAATGGATAGGACTGAAATACAGCTTCTCTGGGGGAAACAAATTCTAGGGCAATACCTTTTGGGTGTTACTTATGCCTAACACAAATGCATTAATGCCCAGTGGCAGGATTCTGACAAAGTTAGAAAAATCAGGACAAACAGCTGCTGAAGGTATTCTGGCAACACATAACAGCTGGTAAAATAAAAACAAAGTGAAGCTACTGGAAAAACTTCAGCTTGTTTTTGCATTTTATCCACTACTGAAACATCAGGGAAACTAGGCACCATGCTGAATGGAAAACAGAACCTCTGCAAAAGATAGGTAAAATAATTTTCAAATCTTCATTGCTCAAGGCATGATAGCCACCTCTCAGGATTTCAACATCTGGGTTTGATTTAAAAAAACGTATGCACCAGGAAGATGTCAGAAACATGTCTACATCAGGGAAGGAAATCTTTGGCTTGAACTAACTTTAAATTAAATTAAATTAAACTAAAACATCAAGACTCTTGAATGGAAGACAGCACTATTTAGAAGTCTGAATCTGGTTTTCATTTTACAATTGATATCAGGGTCCAGGCTACGTAAAGAGTCTGTGTGCCTCCTGTCTAGAGTTAGAGGAACCAAGAAAGTATACAAGAACATGATAAGGTCCTGTGGAAAAGTTTTAGCATAATGAGAATACAAAGAACAGAATAAGACTTGCAGTGTAATTACTAGAATAGTTATGGTATCATCTAAAACAGTGTTGTTCAAACTTGGCGACTTTAAGATGTGTGGACTTCAACTCCCAGAATTCCCCAGACAGCATGGGAAATTCTGGGAGTTGAAATCCACATTTCTTAAAGTTATCAAGTTTGAAAAACACTGGTCTAAACCAATCACCCGTTTAAACTATTTCTGATCCACCTTAAGTAATTACACCAAGAGCATCCCTGGGGAGAGGGTCAAAAGTCAAGAAGGTCACAATTGTGCAGTCGAAGCCCTGCCCGTTTATGGGTGTCAGATGCACAGCATGTGTAAAAAAGTGACAAGAGCTTGACTGCAAGGTTGAGGACACCATCTTGACTTTTTTGACACCTCCTTCCCCATGGATACCCTTGAAATTACACAAAGACATAGGAGGCATGACTGACAAGGAAAGGAGGAAGTTCCTGTAAAATCTATTAAAATAATAACAATTTTTAAGCCAATTTAGAGAGAACAGCAGCTTGTTTCCAGTGATTTGGAATTCAAATTCCTGTGATTTGAAATTACAGACTAGTAGGGCATGAGGGAATGTACAAAACTGACAAAACTGAAGTAATAATCAAGTTTCATCTCCGAGGGTGGGTGCTTTTTTGTTTTTTGTTTGGCTAAACGTTACACTCTAGAGTCCCAATTGTGTTCTGCCGGCCTCAAGTCAAGTGATCATTTTTTGCCTTACAAAAATCAAGAGTAAACCTTAGCAAGCAGAACACAACTAATTATTAGTGAACTCTGCCACTGTTTATACATTTTACTACTAATCCATTGTTTTCATTTCAGATTATGTTACATAAACAAGATGAGACTTTGAAAATCCATATATACAATAAATTAATAAACTCCATTATTAATCAGGGTTAAGCACTTGCTCTGCATGACAGACTGGTTTTGGCAATCCAAGAGGTGAAACTTCAGATTCTGCAAGTGAACTCAGAGTATAACTAGGCTAGCAGGGTACTAGCCAACTTGCAGTTTTAGAAATGGGATGGGTTTGAACATCATCCTTCAAATTGTTAAAAATTCAGAGTTATTTCTAGGTCTGGTAGGGGGAGAAGAAGCCACACAGAAGCATTTAAGGAGAAGCTGCAGAAAAAGGGAAGGGAAGTCATCCACACACAGCAAAACACCAAACAGACAGGACTGACCTACTATTTCAAGTATTATGTGAGATGGGACTGTTGCATGCTTTAAAAAAAAAGCAACCACCTTAAAATAGAAAACCTGCAGAACAGCCCAACAGCCTAGAGTGAAAGTTTTCACTTTGCAACAATTCAACACATGCACAAATATATACCAGGGAGCATTCAAATTCGTAGCTCCCACCTGCAGTCTGAAGCGATACAGTCCTTTCCGGTGCAGACACCCAGCAGAAGTTACGACAATATCGCATGTGCCATGACACCCTCACGCACGTGATGCAAATGGTGCAGCGACAGTCTGCTGCCGGTGATGGGATGTTGTGGGCGTAGAGCCCAGCCTCAGAGTTCAAAGTGAGAATGAGACTGGGAGACAAAGGGGGTGGGGAAGTGATGGTGGGGGGGATCCACGATCAAAGCAGGAGCAGCTGAAAAAAAGGGGAGGTTCTGACTGATGCCTTTATTAACAAACCTAACATACTCTGCAGTGAGACTGAAGCGGCACTGGACCTCTGAGGAAACCTGGAAACACCCACTGCCTTGATGCACACAGAGTTTCCGTTCATGGTGGATTCCCCCACCCATCACAGAGAAAGTGTTCATTAGAAGCCCAGGGAGGGAAGAGCTGATCTAGAAGAGAACATTCTCTGCAGAACGTTCCTCTAGACAGATACATGGAAAAGCAAGTGGTTTTTTGTTTTTTTTTAAATAGCCATTTAGACATTACAACTCTATCACATACTACTTCAAATATGCAAAGTACTACACAATAAAGTATGGACACTTGAGACTTATCGCTCCCATTTTATAAAGAAAGAACTGAGGCAGAGAAAGAAACCAGCCAGCCAGGTAAATCCAGGCATGGATTCAAGGTGGATCTGGCAGGGTGGTTCTGGCCATCTGGCCGACTCCTGCTCTGCCTGCTCCATCAGTTTCAGACTGATTCCTGCACTGCAGGTTGGGAAAGGAGCAACTGCAGCTAATTCTAGTTCTCACTATCAGAATTGTGACCTGCTAGTTCACTATTCCTCAACCTGGTGGCCTCTGGATGTGTTGGGACTGCAAATCCCAAAATTCCCAGCCATGAATATGGGGGTGGTGGTGGTGGTGTAAGTCAAGTGACATCTCATGCATAAGTCTGTCATGGTGCAAAGGACATGAATTATGTCATTTGCATCAGCCCTACGATGCTATGACTGCCACAACATCATGTATCAGTGGGATAATGTAGAAACCATGATGGTATCACGCAGGTTGGCAGCAACTGGCTCAAATTACATCAATGGAGCGATGACATCATGGCATGCTTGACATCACTGCGGTATGCTCCCAGGCAGGAAGCGAACACACTGGCTGGTGAACGCTGAGAGCTGCACCTCCAACACCTGCCAGTTGGTACCAGTTTAAGGAGCCGTGAGCTAGACGTTAGAGACTTTTAAAAAGTAAATTAAAAATAAACCTAAGTATACAACTAGAACACATAATTTATAAAGTGGACCCTGATAAATGTGTTGTTGTTTTTTAAAAAAGAGTAATTTGAGAACATTGTCAGACCAATGTATATTCAACAGAAACCTAAAAGTTGCTCTCGACTTTTCACTAACACTTCATTCAAGCTGGACAGTAAGAACATACATTTGTAAAAAAAAAAAATGGCAAGGTTTAACTATAAATAGTTTGGGGAATGCTTGTATTTAAATTTAAACAAGAATAATGTCCATTTTAATTTAAGTGCCGAGAGATGATTCAAGTAACTTCTAGTTTTGTAGTAAAACCACTATTTTGGCCCTCTCCCACCCAGCAATGTCTTAATGCAAAGCAAACTTCCCAAACGTGATCCCTTTCAAATGCAGTGGATTACAACTCCCCGCTCCTGTGGAGAACATCAGGTTGGGCAAGACACCTACGAAGCATTGGATGGCTACGAAGAAGAAACAGAAACAAAATTTCCAGAAAAAAGCATTCTTCTCCTAAAAAAACCCTCCCTTCCTTGCAACACCAGCATTTTTCAAAATAAACTTATTGAGGCAGAGGCCAGGTACAAATGGGCAGGTGGGAAATCGGAACTCTCTGCTGCTCTCAAGTGGAGCAAACGAGCAGAAGAAGAAGAAGGGTACTTGTAGCTCAACTGTATGGAAGTATGGTGGCTCCTTTGATAAATTTAAGCTCTCTTTGAAAAATGCTCATCATTTCTAACTGGTATTACTGCTTAAAATGCAGAATGTATCCGTCACACTCGTCATGATAAACTCCTTAGTACATTTACAACACAAAAAACGTTTATAATGTAAACTTCACACATGCTATTCTTTCTTTAAAAACAGAATGGAAACAACAACAAAAAGAAGACTAAAGCTAAACTGATTTAAATTCGGCATGCTACAGTACTTCCATGTCTCATCGAGATACGACACTGAAGGTGACAAAAGATGAAGGGGGGATTACAAAATATTCTCAGCAGGTTGGAAGCTGCCCAATCAACATGGCAAACACCTCCCTTCTCCATAATCTATTCCTAATGTCCATGATTCTTAGTGTTGGATTGGCCATATATGATTTATTCTTATCCATTCGGGTTAATAAGTGCTTCCTTAACTTAGTTAAATCCATCGGTGTGGTAGCTGGGGTGAGAATCTGCCGTGAGCTGAGTCGTCTCTGTGGCCGAGGCTGGCTGGATCACAATTGGGGCGTCGGAGTTCTCTGAAAAATAAAGAGCAACTTTCTGAAAGCTAAAAATCAGGAGTGGGTTTACTAGCACCTTTTCCAACTAACATATTTTATTAAAAGGCAAAAGCTTTCGTGAGCTGTGGCTCCCGTCACCAGAGGCATCGAGTGGCTGGACTGATGGAGGATTTAAATTGGGACACTTTAAATTGGGGAGAGAAAATAAGAACGATGATAAGCCGTTCGCCAGTAAGAAGCAGTGAAACCATTACTTGAAGGAGCTCTCCAATCTTCTTCTCCCGTGAGGCTGTCACAACACACCAGTGGCGATGCGTGCGGACAGAGAGGGGAGCAAAGGTGACGTCTGAAATGGATTTTTGTGAAGTGGCAATCTCCGCAAGAACTCCTCCCCTCTCAAACTTTTGATTTATTACTTTTCCTGCAATTTTATGTTTTAAAAAAGCGCTTCTTGGGTGTCAATTAGGAAGTGAGAACCAGTGAGGTCCACAGAGCATGATAAAAAAAAGTCAAGATGGCAGCTGCAACAGTGAGATTAAAGCTCCAGCTGTTTTTGATGTGTGTCACGCACATGCCGTTGCGGCCACCATCTTCCTTATGATAACTTGCAAGGGTAAGTTGCAAGATGGTGGAGCATTAATTGAGCCACCCACTGCTAATTAAATGTCCTACAGAATTTAGGAAACCTGGCATTGCAGAATCATGATCATTGTCAGGCCCAGCCCAAGAACAATAGACAAACAGTCCAGCCAAGTTAAGTTATTTTATCGCTCATACCATATAGCAGGGTTCCTCAACCTCAGCAACTTTAAGATGGGTGGACTTCAACTAAATGTCCTACAGAATTTAATTACTATACTGTACAAAATGGTTTATATGTTGGACTTGAAGCCACATCAGATCAGCTCTTTCCCCTTTTCTGATCTTTGGATGTGTTCCCGGTGGCTTAACTGGGGCGACCAACACTTACCCCTCTCGTCTGACTGTACTTGGGCCTCCAAGTCTTCTGGAGAGACGTAATACTCCGGCTCATCTCCTTCAGGGGGTTTCGGTTTACACTTTCCACAGCAACAGTTACAGCAACAGCAGAGACAGCAACAACAGTAGCACCCAGTTATGAGTCCACAGAAGACAAACAGTGCCTGGATAGGGGAGAAAAGAAACGTACACCACCTGCATTGAGCGAGAGCTTGGCTGGGGAGGTCGAGCCAGAGAAAAGAGTGACCAAGAGAGAGGGAAAGAGGCTGTGTGTTCTGAAAGACTGGGCGCTGGACTGTGAGCAGTGGAAAGGTCTACTTCTGAAAAACTGCTGACTGCGTGTCCTAAGAGCTGACGACTGCTCATTGCGGGTGATCTTCTGCCTTGGCTGTACTGCTGTAAGATAATCGTTCAGCAACCTCTAGAGTCCTGCGTGTTGTACACTGATCCAAAGGCATTCAACTAGTTAAATAAACAGCCAACTCTACACAGGGCAGCTTTGGAAGACAACGTGGAAGCAGCAAATGGCTACAAAACATGGCGGCCAGGTTGCAGGTTGAGGAAACCTGGCATTGCAGAATCATGGTCATTGTCAGGCCCAGCCCAAGAACGATAGAGAAACAGTCCAGCCAAGTTAAGTTATTTTATTGCTCATACCATAT